CCGTATCCCTGCTTTATCATCGTCGTTATTATCATTATCGCTATTGACACTTTTTTTTTGTTTTGTATTTGATTTTATTTTAATTTACTATTATCATCGGGCGGGGGCAATAAGAAAGGGCCGTCCCTACCCCATCCTCACCCCCCGGCTGCCCACGGGGTCACTAAACGCCCTCTGTGCCCACCAAGGGCACCGGGCAGCCCACGCTGCCAGGCCAGGGCAGGGCCCAAGGGGTGATGCCGGCCCAAAATGGGAGCTTCCAGGTGCAGGGCTGCGCCCTGGCCCCACTGGGGTTTTGCTGGGGTGACTGGTTTGCCGCTCCAGTGGGGTAGGAAATACCCAGCGCTGCCACGCACCACCCAGTGCAATGGCACAGCCGATCCCATCCCCGTGGCTAGGGCAGCCCTACTCGACGCCCGTGCGCCCACGCCGCCCCGACCGGGCGGGCAAGTTCTGCTGCTCCCCGGGCCAGTGGGCTCAGACACCCCATTACCATCCCTCTCCCTCCATGGGCGGCCAGGCTGGCTCAGCACTGGGGTGAGAGCCAAACCCGGCTGGCTCCCGTGGGACCTTGAAAGCGTGGCGACACAACCAGGACCTTGTGCAAACTCGCTGGGCTGAGAAAACAGCAGCCCTCCCACACCCCAGTTTCTAAATCCAGCAGCACCTTGGAAAAAGATTTGCCTGGTGGGGTTCAGCAGGGGCAGGGGGGAACCAGCCACCTGTATCTGGAATGGCCCCCGATAGCTTTGGGTATGGAAAAAAGAAGGCATTTACAGAAAGAGTTTAAAAAAATGAAACTGGCAGAAGGGGAATAACCTGTTGCAAAACAGCCCCAAATTTCCTCCCCCTGCCTGGGTTTGGTGCACAAGCTGGGGCAGCAGCAAGAGGACATGCCGTGAGCGTTGGGGGGGGGGGCCACACAGCAAAAAAAACCCAATTCAGACTCCACGGCCCATTGTGTAATGCAGACAGATCCTCTTTGTCTCTTTTTTTTTTCCTCCCTTTTGAGCCCGTTTTTAATTCCGGCCTCAATCTCTGCCTGGCTTTTCCACAGCAGCTCTGTCTTCCACTGCACCGGTCGCCCTTTTTCATCCTTTCCTGCGACTTCTCAGTGTTCTGCGGGCAACCAGCTGGGCTGGAGGACATCTCTCCTCCCCAGTGGCACCTTTATCTCTAGCCATGATGATACCAACCCTGTGCCTAGTCCTGGGGACACTGGAGGTGGCCCTGATGGCACCTCCCCAGGCTGACTTCACCCTGCCATGGATTAACCCCTCTGGGAGGCTCAGGGGATAAGCTGGGTGCTGAGCCACCGGGCACTAAATAGGGTACACAACCCCGGTCAATCCGTCCCCTCCCCTTAGGAGGCACTTTTTCAGTCAGGGAGGGAGCCAGTGGTGGTTCCCGGGGTATTTGGGGGGGTGTTGGGCTGGAGCGGGTTTGTCCCCCCTTACTGCACCCCCAGTGCCGTGGCATGGTGACGCCAGAGCTGTGGGTAGTTTTGGGTGGGTGTGGGAAGGGCAGAGATAAGCAGCAAATGGCTGGGAGCTTGTGCCTCAGTTTCCCCACACCAGCAGTGGGGGTTTTCAGCTTTCTGGGGGTCACCAGAGCACCACCATGCTGGGGAGGTGGGGCAGAAGGAGCTTGCTAACTGCTGGAGTTTGGCAGCTCTTGCTGGGGAGAGGTAGGAAAAATCCCTACCCTTTCCTAGAAGGCTTTGGAGGGCTGAAGTAACATGTTCAGGCACACAAGGACAGGCCAGGGCTGGGAGAGCAGCCCTGGTGGGGGAGATCTCAGCTCATGTCTTCTCCACTAGGCCAACCTTTTTATTTAAATACCCTTCCTGTCCCGGCTATCCTCACAGCCTGCTTTCCTGGTGCACCATACCGCTGGCTCCAGTGCTGCCGAAAGCTGACACTGCACAGTCAGAGCTACATGCCAGCCCCCATATTGCCCTCAGCAATGCACCAAAACACCCCAACCGAGACCTCCCCCATCACACCTGTGACCCCACATCATCCACCAGCACCTCGTCCGGGTGGGCTGCCCCGGCCAGGCAGCGTCCCACTGCCACCAGCACCTTCCCCAGGCGACGGTCTAGTGCCCGCAGGTGGGGCTCGGCCAGGACAGGGGCCAGAGGGTCCGTGGCCAGCGCCTCCCGCAGCAGGTCGCTCAGGCGGTAGGGCTGCGTGGCCAGCAGCTGCAGCCGCAGGTAGGTCGACTTCTTGATGCTGCCGAAGATGAGGAGGGAGAGGCCTCAACCCGGGGAGCTTCTCCCCAACAGCAGCTCCAGGGCGGGCAGTGGGAGAGCCCCTTACCTGCAGCATTGCCAGAGGGGGGCCAGGATAGACAGTTCGTCGCGCGAGTGCGTGCCAAAGCTGGGGGGGGAGAAGCCCACCAGTGGTCATCAGGGCGGCATCACCCCGCAGCTCAGAGCTCAACGTGGGGCACATTTCAGCAAGACACGCGGAATCCTCCCACCCTTTTGCTGGAATTGCTTCTCCCACCATCACCCCTGGCTTTACCCACGGCCGTTGTCCAGATGGAGCAGGAAAGTGTCGTTCCCAAATTTCTCAAAGGTCTCATAGTGGTGCCGGTCCATGTTGCCTGCAGCGGGGCAACAAATTTGCCATTGGGTGGTGGCCCAGAAGGTGGGAGCAGGGACATGGAGCACCCTCCTGGTGCAAGACCAAAACCCAGAGGCTGGGGAAAAGGTCTGCGGGCATCTCTAAGGTGCCCATCTGGTGGCTCTGGTTGTGGGGGGCCTCCAGGCCCCTTCTCATCCCAGCAGCACCATGATGGGACAACAGCATCAAATGAGCAGAAGTAACGGCAAAGACATGGCTGAGTGTCTGGGGACGAGGAGACAGGAAGCTCTCCATGTCAGATGATGGCAGGGGGGGACGGCATGGGGAGGAAGAAGCAGCCCCGAGGACAGGAGAGGCAGCGTGAGCCCAGGGGAGCATCACCACTGGTCCCAGCTCCCCAGGGGCTGCACATAGGATCTTAGCAGGAAGGTGCTTCCTGTTCCCAGGGTGTTCATCTGGGATCTCCCTGGCATCTCTCCTCTGGCTTCTGCCTGGGATGTGCCCTAATGGCACAGTCCTTTGCTCTCATTTTGGCTAAGAGTGCAGCTCTTTGGCCGACAAACCTCGCAGGGCATGGTACCATGGGACACAGAGCTGTTTGGGCCTCTCAGTCCTGAGGGGCCACTGCAGCCCCCAGTGCCAGCATGGTGGGGCTCACCCATAAGGAAATCAAGGATGGTCATGTCAATGAGGTCAAGGAGGCGATGGCCCCTGTTGTAGGGTGGCGTCTCTCGCACCTGAGCGCAGTAGTTGGGGTTCAGCTCCCACCTGTGGGCAGAGGCCAGGGTGGGGGACAGAGCTGTGAGACTGGCTGTGGGGCAGGCCCCTGCTATCCCATGGCTCTGCTACCCCGTGCCCCCCATCCCCCCCATGCCCCGGCTCACTCAGCCTTCTTGCTCTTGTGGTAGGAGCGGCGCCAGGGGCTGCGCCAGGAGCGGCGTTTGGCCAAGGTCTTGTCAGGCAGCAGAGTGGCCATGGAGCCCTCCAGCCGGTCCGGCTTGCCGCAGAGGGCATGCTCAGTGGAGCAGTAGTAGGAGCACTCCCCGTAGAAGCAGACATTGCCCGCTGGCCATGGGGACAAAACAAAAGTTGATGAAGAGCAGGAAGGCAGCAAGCCTGCTGAGCCCATGCAGGGTGGTCTGGCAGGTGGCTGGGTGAGGATGCTCCATGCACCGTGGCCACATGCCACCAGCAAAGCAATGGCAAATGAAGGCCTTGAGGAACAGACCTCCACATCAGGAAACCCAGCAGGAGCTGGAGCAATCCCCGAAGGGACAAAGGGACAGTTTGCCCTGGGCAGGAGCAGCAAGCTTCAAGTGAGCTCCGTGCAGGTGGTTGCAGGAGAGGATGGACAGCATGAAAGCTCACCTGGGGAGATAAAGAATGTCTTGGCCAGTTTCTTGTCGGTGGTGATGTCACGGATCTCCTTTGTTATATTGACCAAACGGCCAGAAACTGGGGGGATTCGTCGGAAATCCAGGATCCTGAAACACAGAACTTGGGACAATTTTTTGCTGACCTTGGCTGGTTTTCACAGTGAGTTATTTAAAACCACTGTGAGATGCAAGTATCCCTTGCAACAGGAAGCAAGAGGTGGGATGAAGAAGCAGTTTCTCTGCCACTTTGCTGTCACGGGAAGGCAGAGTTGGATGCCAAGCTTGAATTCACCTGTCCAGGTGGAAGGCTGCAATCTCTGCGTTGTGCCGCTCAAAGTCCGAGAAGTAGAAGAAGTCAATGGGGGTTTCCTGGTCCCGGGTCTGCCTGGTAGGAGAGGGGAGGGTGGGGACTATGGCCATGGACAGGGTCATCCTGACTGTGGGCTTGGCTCCAAACCACCCCTCACCTTGTGTCCCTGCTACCACTGGAGACACAGCCAAACCCAGTCTCCTCCAGTCACTCCCTGCTGGGTGGTGCGGCCCCAAACCCCCAGCCAGGCCCTCATGCACCCGCTGCTCCCAACCCAAGGGCTGGGAAGCCCTCACGGACTGGAGGATCCATGGATCGTCTTCTTTCCACCACTGGAGGTCACTACCCCATCACAAGCTGCACCCAGCCTGCCAAGCACCACCAGGGAAGGCGAGGGGAAGGGAACCCTCCTCTCGCTTCAGTTTTGGGGAGGGGTGGGGTGTTGAAGCAAGGCAGCACATGAGGCATTTCTCAGTTTCTCCCTCTGTGGTCTTCTCTAGCTACTCCTCACAACCTAAGGGGACTGTGAGGGTGGGGTACAGGTTTGTCCCCAGTTCTACTCACTTCATGGGCTTGAAGAGGGCCTGTCCGTAATTCGGAAATGTCATGATCAGT